GGGAAAAAATGCTCATAAGATGTTAAGTAGGTTTTTGGTTTTTTTCTTTTCTTTTCTTTTTGCTTTTTTATATTTTCCATTTTCTACAATATTTTTCCTTTATAATTAGGTGATAAAAGTAAATCTTTTAAAACAGATAAGTTATCAGTAAAAGAATAGAAAGCAAATAATTAGAAAGATGATATGTTTCATGCTTTTTCCATCTGTAAGGAACATTTCTTTGTCATTCGCAGAAGCAGTTATTCAAAAGTATTTATGAGCCTAGGTTCCTGAGATTGACTCCTTCATATACTGTGTGGTATGACTTTATGCGTCACTTGACCTTTCTGAACCTGTTTTCCAATCTGTAAAATGTGAGTAATAACCATGCCTTCTCCTAGGTTTACAGCTGTGAAGGGTATGACTGTTGGACTTAGGATGTGCTGGGCACTGTGGGAGGCACATGGTGTGGACTGGTTCACACAGTTAGCTCAGACGTAAGAAAGTCTGTGTGTAAACATTCCAGGAAGGAGAATGAGGAATACTGGATGACCGCCCAAGAGGGTTGGATTTTGAATCAAAGAAACTCTTGCTTAAAGCCCAGCTTTACTAAAGAAGCAGGTGAGCTGGCATTAGAATTCAACCATTGTCTTCAACCATTACAGGAACTGGAGCAGATAGCTGTCAGCCATAGATACAGAAAAGAGGGGTTTAAATTTGAATTGAGTAAAAGCAGAGACTGAAAGATATTCACAAAGGTGGTAAATGCAAAGCCAGACCCCCAAAGGAAATGAGTGGAGCAGGCAGGTATGGAGCAGCAGGGAATGAGAGGAGCTGGGGAGAGCAAAGGTCATAAATACAAGGCCTAAAAGGCCTGACCCCCAATGGAAATGAGTGGAGCAGGCAGGTATGGAGCAGCAGGGAATGAGGGGAGCTGAGGAGAGCCAAAGGTACTTGTGTCCCCCTTGTGCCTTTGCACCTCCTGCCCCTTCTGCCAGGAATTATCTTCCTTCCAAATTTCTGCTCCCTTGAGGCTCATTCAAATATCCTAATACCTTGCTCTATAATCTCCATGGTGTGCATGTGGAGATACCTAAAAGGACCTTGTTTATTTGCTTATATATTTTCTGTCCATTTTGTTCATCTCTCTGGATTATAAGTACATGGTAAACATTCACTAAAGCAAATCACTGAATAAAATGAAACAACACACCTAAATGATTGACTTAACATTTGGTTTCATCAAACAAAATTTGTGTTCTCTTGCTCTAAGAGTTCGCGATTGAAGAGCACCTTCTGTACCAGCTCTGTCACAAATCGAGAGAGATACAGAACGCTAAAAATATCCCTGGAAGGTGTAGACAAGAAGAGAGGTGCTCAGTAAGCTAGATTCTGAGGACCCAGGGTATAAATTGGAGAGTTTAGGATAAAAGGCAGACAGAAATAGAAATTTCTCTTGATTTTCACCAGAATAGAAACATCAAAAAGTATTGACACAAACACTTCAAAGCTTACCTTACTTGCTGTATCTTGCTTTTGATATAATAATACTCTAAATTAGGCGTGGAGTGGGGGACAGGAAGGAATTGAAGAGAACATTAAACATGTCAGGAGAAAAATTCATAATATCTTCTTCCAATCAAGCATATTATTTCTGTTATTACTTAGACCCTTCCCTGAAAATTTCAGACAACTCATTCCTGTATCCATTTTTGCATCTGTATCTCATTTTTGTTAATGATCTGCTACATTTGCTCCCAAGTCCTAACTTACTTACATGTGATTATTACCTTTTTTTCTATTTTAATTTTTATTTATTTATTAGTTTTTTGTTATAGGGCCTAGGCACTCACCGGAGACAGAGAGAGAGAGAAAGAGGGAAAGTGAGAACTCACCCACCACCACCACCACCACCACCACCCAGTAGATATGGCCATGCCACAATCCCTTCTCCATTCTCTGGGGATTTTGAACACACATGCACACACCCCCGGCATGATTTTTCAAGCCACTGGATCCAGCGTCTCAAAACCTCCATGCCACCTGCTGGCCCAAAAGATCTTTCATTCTAGAAACTGTAAAAGTCTAGAATTTTTCTGACAGGGTACTGGAGGACAGGTATAAACCAGGATTATCATAGGCTAACTGGGATGGAAGGTCATACTAAGGATTTCCTCTATCAAAAAATTATCAAATTTCATACTCTTGGCCATCCTCCCTCTAAGAGGGAAATAAAGAGGTGTGTTGGCTAAGGAAAGGAGCATATCTGAAGTATTTTACCCAATTTCTAAATAATTTTGACTAACCAAATTCCAAGCAATTAAATGTAAACTTACTCAAATTTACCAATCATACTCTTTAATTTCCTAGGTCTCCTCTTTCTAGACACAGGAAATAATGCAGTAATGGTGTTTTGCAAAATAAGTAATTATGGTTCTTTTGTAGGGGACAGATTATATACTGAGATAAATACATAACTAGCATCATAGGGACATGGAGCCCTGAACTGAAGCTTTGGGTTCTAGTCCTAGTCTTGCTATCAGCTTTTTCTCTCAATGCCTCATTTGCCTCTTCGGCCAAGTGGCTGTTGCAAAGTTTTCAACCATATCAGTCACATGGGAGCAAAAGTTGGATCTTAAGAGGAGAACAAATCTTACATGTGTCCTCATGGTTTCTTGCCTTTCAAATCTCAACCCTATGCAACAAACTCTTATTTCTTCTAATTTAATCTCTCTTATAGAGAATTTAAATTTAATTTTTCTCCTTAGGGGTCCAATAATTGAAAAATAAAGAACAGGGTTTAAAAAAAAATACTGTTACAAAACAAAACAAAAAAACTACACTAGAATGTAAGCTCCATGAGATTTTCAGAAATTTATGGCACAGAAGATCTTTTCCAAGTACAATAATAATGATTTTAGATTGCTATGAACTTACTACATACTAGACACAGTTCTCAGTGCTTTGTAGGTTCCAACTCATTTAACCCTCAGATCCTCCTTGAGGTAGACAGTACTACCATGGGCATTTTACAGATGAGGATTCTGGGGCACAGGGAAGTCATGTGAACTCAAAATCACATGGCATATGGAGTTACTTAGACCCAAGCAGGCTGACTATAGAACCCTTACTCCAGGGTTGAAATGACTTACTTTTTAAAATCATCAAAATCACAAAGGCGAGCAACACCACAGCAAAAATAGCGATTCCGATGTAGAGCCCAGTAGCAGCAGTGGTCCATGAAGTTTGTGCCGGGGATGCTTGCTAAGGAAATATCAGTGGGTTGAAAACGCGTCTTGTTAGAGTTATAGTTGGAAACACCTCTGAGAATAACATACCACACGTATTTATCATTATTGACTTTTGGCTACTTATGGAACATGATGGTAAAACCAAATGATCTGAGTTTATAATCTTACAGTGAAATTCTAACACAATTTCAAATCTAAAACATATTTTAGAATGTTTTATATTTTGTTTAGAATGGTATTTATGTAAGTGAATACATTTTGTCAAAGTTCAAACTAAACATTTATTATATCTGTTTTACACATGAACAGACTATGTCTAAAAACATCCTTTTTTGATATTTAAAAAAAAAAAAATTATTGGGGCCGGCAGGTAACGTGGTGGTTCAAACAACTGGATTCCCACATAGCTGACCACAGTTTGAGTCCCGGACCTGGCGGCTTGCTTTCTCACTTTCCCTTTCTCTCTCTTTCTCTCTCTGGTCAAGTTAAAAAATAATAATAACAACAAATGGAATTATATAAATAAATGAATAATTCTTTTTTAAAAAGTTATTTACATATGTTGGCTTTATCTGATACTATCTGAATCTGCTCAGTTATTAAATGTGGTCTTTGGTTATAGTCCTTACTTGTTTTTCGACTGTAAGTCAAGATTCTATTTCTATGTCCATTAACTTGAAAGTAGCTGTTCACAGACCTGGCCCCTGATTATTTATTGCTGTGCAATTATGCAGAATGCAGAATTATGTTTAAACTTCCTGGTGTGGATCATAAAGGATCAACACCTCCTCTAATAAGCCAGGCATCCTGCTAGGCTCTTTTTCATAGTTTAGCTCTAATCCTAAAGGGATCTCACAGGGTAGATAATCTTAACAGAAAGGAAGTGGAGGATCAGAGAGAAAAGAAAGGATCAAGTCTTTTCCTACAGAAGAGCTTAATTCCTGGAGTCACAACCCCAGCTCTTTTGGTTAGCTGTTGTGTGACCACGAACAAGGGAACCTCTCTGAATCTGTTTCTGCGTCTATAGACGGCAGATTCATTGGCGTCCTTGGATGAGGTACTTTTAGGTACACATTGGAGTGGTAAACACTATGAGGAACACAGAAGAGGGCAGCAACATTTGAGCCACACTTGCTTTAAAGGGGCACAGCCAGTGTCTGGGAGGGGGAAACTGTGTTATTATCTTATCTATGCATCCTCATAGGTAAGTGAGGAAGGGGAAGTGTTTTGATGGAGAATGGGATTTTGAGAGGAAGGCTCTGCTTTCATTTCTTAATTATATTATACAAAAACTGAGTGTTCATTTTAGAATGCGCAGCTAAGTATTTTAAAAGGAAAACTAGATAACGTGTATACTATTCTCAACTGGAACGGTGAGAAATGTATGCATGCTGGAATATTCCCTTTGCAAGCTAAGTGATATATGTGATATATGTGATTAAATGTGATTAAGTGATATATGTGGTTAATCCAGCATAAACTTAGCCTTATAGTAGTACAATAAATATTTACGTAATGGCAATTCTAATATTTAACCACTATGTAAAAATTCAGTTCATAGCCACCAGATTAATCAGTGCCCATGCTGTACAAGTGTTTTTTGTTTTTTTATTTTTGCAAGAGGGCACATGCACTCCCCAGAAAGACATACACAGAGAGAGGGAAAGTCAGAAAGCATTTCCTCATAGGGAATGACCATGCTGAAATCCATTCTCCTCCATTTCTTTCTTTTTTTTGGGATTTTGGGTGTGCATGCACACTGACCCACTGTGTTTCTTCAGTCTCTGGTTCCAGGATATGAACCATGCAGTCAGCCATGTGGGATCCAGCCTCTTCAATCACTATACCACTGACTTGCCCAAGTTGTTAGATTCCTATGTAGCAGTACTCTCATTGTTTCTAAAGTATATAGCACAAGGTCATTTGGCCATACACTCAATAATTCTACCTTGCCTGAACTGCTCTGACTCTTTTTTGTTGTTGTTACTTCTAATAATTATTTGCACATGTGAAAAAGAAGGTTGCTTCTCCCTAGAGCTAAAACATCCTATTGATAAATCTGTCTGACTTATTTCTAAAACTGAGACTTTGATGGGCATCATGAGGGAACAACCATGCCACAATCCGTTCTCTTCCACTCTCCTCTTGGGATACTAGGCCTGTGCACACACTTGCCCAGTGCTATTTTCAAGCTGATGGGTCCAGGACTTCAGCTGCGAAGTTGGCCCTACATAATCCACCAGCTGGTCCCTAAGCAAGCTTATTTTTGCTTAATTTTTTAACTTACATTTTATATTTTCTTTGTGTGACTTCAGCTTCACCCACTAATTCAAAGCATGTTGTTTCCTCAGTAATAGCTGAAATCCTCCTTGGTATGTTATGCTAACTTACTCTCCTTGACTTAGCTCATTCGTTTTTTCCAATACTTGGCCATTGGAAAATCTGTATAGTGTGTGTGTGCATGTGTGTGTGCACACGCATATGTGAGATTTAATAAAATATCTCTTTTGGGTCATCTCTAAAAAACTGGTTGACTTAAATTAACTTTTCAAATTAAAAGATATCTATTCAAGAGTCAAGTTCTTTTCATCCTTTTTGTTTAAGTCAAAACATAGACTAGTCTTACAGAAATTGCCTTTACATGTAACTTGCTTCCACGGAGATAGACAAGGGAACCTGGCTAATAAATAGAAAGGAATATGCTTACGGTTTGATTGTTATGCCAAAGACTGCCTGAAGACTGTGTCACGGTGCCATTCCCATCTGCTCAACAAGAAGGAAAATTAATTAGAATTACAAAAAATAATATTGAATTTTTACAGCACACATTAAATATATTCACATTGCCTTCTGGTAAAAAGTTGAATAATAATAAGATCAAATGCTGTAGGCATTGTAACAGTCATACCAAGTTGTTAACATTTTATTAATTTATCCTATGAAGTTGTGTTTTTTAACCTTTCAGTAAAGGGCTCTTAGAAAATTGACTGGCTTTTTCTCTTTGTGGAAGAAAATGCATGCACACAAGAAGTTTTACCTATAATTTTGGGAGAATCAGAGAAACCCATTCATGGAATCAGGTTAAGAATGTCACTTAAAAGAATTAATATTTTTTGGACCAGCAGATGGTGTAATAGTTACATTGCTGGACTCCCATGTAGTCAACTGCTGTTAGAATCCAGGTCCAGTGGGCCCGGGGCAGCTTAAAATTCACACTAGGTGCGTGTGCATGCAGCCCAAAATCCCAAGAGGAGAATGGAGACGAGATTATGGTGTGGACATCCCTTCTGAGGGTTAATTTCTTGCTTTCTGTCTATGTCTCTCTGTCTCTAGTGTGTGCCACAGCCTATAGCAACAATCTCTCTTAAAAAAAAAAGAAAGAATTCATATTTTTAGGACGAACAAATGACATAATGGTTACATCCCTGGACTCCCACATGGCAAACTGCGTTTCGAGTCCCAGACCCAGCAGCTTCAAACTGACAAGAGGCACATGTGCATGTATGCCCAAGATCCTGAGAGAATGGAGAAGTGATTGCGGCGTGATATCTCTCTTTATGTCTCTCTGTCTCTCTCTCTCTCCCTAGCGAGCATACCAGCCCTATAGCAAAAATCTCTCTCTTAAAAAAAAAAGAATATTTTGGGAACCAGCAGTTAGCGTAATGGCTATGTCGCTGGACTCCCACGTAGTCGACCGCGGCTCGCGTCCCAGACCCAGTGGTTTAAAACTCACGCCGCGCGTGTGTGTGTGCGCGCGTGCCCAAGATCCTGAGAGGAGAATGGAGGAGAAGGGATTGTGGCATGACCATCCCCCCTAGGGGGTGATTTCTTGCTTTCTGTCTCTCAGTCTCTCTCTGTCTGGCGAGCGCACGCGCCCTATAGCAAAAACCTCTCAAAAAAAAAAAAAAAGAGAATATTTTTATGCTAGCTAAGAAGCTTTGGAGGAATGCCCAGCCCAGAGGCCATGTGCATATCAAAAGATCAGAAACACCTTATTCACAACAGCTGTTACATTTCTTTTGCATCAGAATGTGAGTAAAATGCACCATGATATCCAAAACAAATGGCATATAACTCCTACCTAATATTCCAATGTGTCTAGATTTTGATCTAGAAGTACTTTAGAAAAATATGCTATATCAGCCACAAGACCAATGAATCTTATAATATAGAACTACTATGAGGATTTTCTATAGCATAAGACATATTGAACATAGTGTGTTTCTTTTTGTGGGGGAGAGGTTTTTGCTATAGGGCATGTGCGCTTGCCAGAAAGACAGAGACAGAGAGATAGAAAGCAAAAAATTACCCCCCTGGGGGAATGGTCACACAGCAATCCCTTCTCCTCCATTCTCCTCTTGGGCATGCATAAGCGCCCGGAGTGAGTTTAAGCCACCGAGTCCAGGACTTGAACCACGATTGACTACGTGGGAGTCCAGCAACATAGCCATTATGCCAACTGCTGGTCCCAGTGTTTTTCTTTTTAATTGCCAGTAGACACATGCACTCCACAGAGAGAGAGAGAAAGAGGGGGAGAAAACACTCCCCAGTAGGGCATGATCATGCCTCAATCTCTTCTCCTCTATTTCTCCATCCCATTGGGATACTGGGCAAATGTGCACATATACCAGGCATGTTTTTCAAGCCACCAAAACTGGGGTTTGAACTATGGTTGCCATCTGGGATTTGGCTCTTTAACCATAGGGCTGGCCCAGATTTTTAACTCTCTTTTTTTTTTTTAGTTTTTGCTAAAAGACATGTGTGCTTACCATAGAGAGACAGAAAGAGAGAGTGATGAATTGCCTTCCAAGGCATATGGTCACGCCACAATTTCTTCTCTAGTCTCCTTTAGGGACTTTGGGCATGAATGCACACATACCTGGTATAATGTTTAAGCCACCAGGTCCAGGACTTGAACCTCACAGTCAGCCATGTGGGATTCAGTGCCTCAACCTCCATGCCAATTGCTGACCCAACACTCAAATTTGTAAAATATTTTAAGATATCTTATAATATGTTCTGTTGGCTTTCCTAGGCATCTCTAGGTCAAATACACAATTCTCTTTTAACTGAGTAGCTGCCATGTTCTAAGTACTTAACATCTTAACAATCAATTCCTTAATCTCACTTCATAGGTGAAGAAACAGAATGGCTAAATGAGTTTCCAATTTTAGTAAATGACAAGAGCCTCTGCTGGTAACCACCACACACACTGCACTACCATCAAATGAAAAGACCATAGGTCAGGCCAACAGGTGGTATGGTAGTTAAGGTGCTGGACTCCCACATGGCCAACCACATTCTGAGTCCCAGACCTGGTGGCTTAAAATTCATGCCAGGTATGTGTGTGTGTGTGTGTGTGTGTGT